AAAGTAAGCTGTCGTCCGGCGACACTATCTTTGCCTATTCGTAGCCCAGGTTACCACTGTTCTTCACATTAATATATTCATCCATGAATATATTGCAATAATATAATACTAAACAGAAGTATTATTCGCAGTTGAAATTACCCGATAACACTTGATCTTTGAACGGCGGATACGAATTTATTCAAAATAGTCATTTTGTATAGCAGTGACATATAAGATAGAAAAGAAACAACTCACCTCTACTAGAATGTAATACCACATTTGTGGTAGCAAAAGTGACGGCATTTTTTGCATTTAGAACGTTTTCGTAAACGGAGCACATGACCTCCGCTGTTATTGTGAGTGGCCTCACGTGAACACCATTTGATAAGAGCAGTTGTTCCACGAATTCCGCGTCAAATATCAATTCCCATATCTCACCGAAGTGCATCGAACGAGTCTGAAATGGATTGTGATTAGGAGATCCATATGACGAATTTCGGTCAAGGGGTGTTTGAAGATTTACCATAAAATCAGATTTTCTATAATCACTTGAAAAATCGAGGTCAACATTTGGTCGTGTATTAGAGTTCAATAATAATCGATTCCTTGCATTTGCGTAAATAACAATTGCGTGTCATGAAATATTGTGTCCTATTACAGTAATTCACGATTCTCTCGGATTGTGCACACGATTCACGCATAGATCAGCTATCTGGCATCACATACGAATGCAGCAGATCTCTCTGCTGTATGCCATTTCAAATTATGATATGCCTCACGAAGGATTACAAATACCCGAGAACGTGAGAAGTAATCACTCCAGTTCTAAAATCGTTACACTCAAGACGATTGAGATCCGATAGATAACCAAAAGCATAGTCCACTTACCGACACTTCAGTCAGTCTATACGGCTGTGTAACAGTAACAGGAAGTGAATTGGTGGAAGCTGAAACGGTGAAGTTCTTTATCCAGAGATTGCGATGCATTCGGATGTCTACCAATTTGCATTCTAATCGAGATTTCTCGTGATGTGAGATGGTCATTGCCAGTCGAACGGTGTCACTGAATCGGTTGGAAAAAAACAGATGAGAAGCGTAATAAAAAGTCTTGTATTTAAACAGAACTATTTACAAGGAACTGACAGGTAAGTTCTTAGTTTTGTTCAGGGACAGGTTTGTTGCCCGCATTTAAATTTTATCCGGATGGCTGAAAGAATTCATTTTACATATATGGTGTCATTGTCAATCAAAACAAGTGATATTAGGCATACCAGGGTCCAAACATACCTGGGATAAACGTCCAGTGTTTTCGTCGTCAGCGCTGCGTTCAACACCGCTTTGTACTCCGCGTCATCTACAATTTTCAACTGGATATGATCAAGACATGGAATTCCGTCAATCAGAACGTCAATCTTCAATAGACGTTTCTCTACTTCCAAGGCTGCATCGCTCAATCGCACGGATATGATAAAAGTGAACTGACTTCCCGGTTCGAGATCTGCAGGATCTAGCAATGCAAACGAAAACGTCATTGTGATCGATTCTTGCATTCAGCTTTTAGTTAAATCATTTACAGCACCGTTTATTTACGGACATCCCCTCACCTTTTATGTCCACTTCCAACCTATTCATTTGAATTGGGTTGAAATCCCCGCTCGCATTGAAATTAATAATTGGATTTCCAAACTTTTCTCCCGAATCCATTCCATTGAAGCTAAGGTTACAATATGCGACTTTTCTTGCAGAAATTCCACTGCATTTGACCACAAGGCGTGATGGCTTTGACACGATCTCATTCAATTCCTTGATAATAATTGTCATGTTCTTCAGTTTGTTCACACTTATACTCCGTTCCATTTCGGGTGCAAGTGCGATCCGGTTGCAAACCTAAAGATAAGTGTAAAGATATTTACGCCCTGATTGGAGAGCTGGCAAATGTGATCAGAAATAATTCTGTTGGTTAAAAGAGGCTATGGTCAAGTTTTTTCTCTGGGTGATAATTTCTACTTTTTTTTGTTCACCTGTTCCATTCTACCTCCGTCGTGGTCCGTCAGCGAAGTGAAACGACTGGTCAGGTTACACAATGGTCAACGGGATAAATTGCGCGACATCCTTTCGAAAATATTTCTCTTGAACATCAATGGCTGGGCTTTAATCACAGAAGTTAGGAAAATGTCACACAAGAACAAATGTTGGAACGGAATCACTCCATTTTTATAGGTACTCATTACTATGAAATCGGTGTTGGGAGATAGGCACACATCGCTTAATTTAGATAATAACTAGCCATTGGGTGATTAGAAATGACTATGCTTGCAAAATGAATCTCTCTTCAGCACAGAAAAAGCCATATTGATTTACCCATCATAATTGTGAAAGAGAGAACAGAACACTATAAAGAAAGGAGTCGCTTCGAGAAGGACACAAGAATCCATAGGTTTGAGTAAAATCTCGTAGATACATTCCTTCTTAAGAACGCAATATTCTGCTCACTTGATTGAGTGAACGAGCTATTGTTTAGAATGGAATATCAAATAGTGTAAAAATCCGCATATAGCTCATAATAAACAGTGAGTGCTAATGCGCGATAGTTGATACTGACTTTAACTGAACAGTCCTCATGTATCAAGTTTGCACAAATTCCCGAAGGGTTCCAGCCAACTCTACAATCGGATGCACACACTTTACATTAGTTTTGCTTTAATGCATGCACACCAAACAGGCAGGTCTTTGAACCGCCAACCCGTTGCACGTAGTAACTGAGGACTTTGCATAGAGGTAAACGGTAAGGGATCAGAGGGTCTAAATACGTTTTGAACCGTTGAAGTTATCACCCACAATTTCCGCGACTTTAACGACAACAACATCAACTGTGGAGATAAGCCATGCAATGGTTTCACTAATCAGGGCGCAATTCCACTGTCTCATGGTTCATAATTCGCCTTATAAAACAAACGATCGTTGGAAGTTTGAACTCACATCTTTTATGGACCTCCTGCGCCTTGAGGGCAAATTACCCTCCTCGATGACTCTTGGTCGCGGTTAAATCAGGGACTGATGGAGCGTCATGGGACCTTGTGTCATCTTGCACTCAACAAACGAGTTCGAGTAACCCCGGTGGAGAGAGCCATCAATGGCGATTTCAACCTAACAAAATAAGACAGTAAAAGTGCATTTTGCCCAAATATTCACTCTGACACAAGTGATGGCTTGATGAATACAAAAATTCAGTAAAACCAGACGGATTGTCCCAAGATGAAACCACATTGTGTGAGATTGCTGTCAGATGAAGACGGAAATCATTTACAATCAGAATTCAACGAGCGCACTTAGTTCGACCAAATAATGCCATGTTCCCACTGGGTGCTCGTAGTTTAGCCAACGAGAAAGTATTGCACCACAGAACCGAAATATTAAACAGTTGATCTACGCTCGCAGAAGAGAGTGATAAAGTTCAGTAATTATCTCCAAATAAACGTACCCAACTGTTCGCATCTCCTTGCCCGCACAGGTCACCCAAGTTCATGTATTTGCTGAGCGGATATGGAGGGAATACTCTAAAAACCAAAATGATATTTTATCAGTAATTCACAATAATACTGAGCTTGAACGCACGCGTCAACCTCAATGCGATTGAAAATAACGCGCAAAATAATTAGCTGTGTGTGTGATGGAACAAGGCTCTGCTTTAAAGTTTTTGTATTTTGGGCAATACAAGAAGTTGAAGTACATTTTCATCTTGGAGAGAGAGAATAAAGGAGGTGCAGTATTGGCAAACAGTGGTATCTTTAACGCTACTCACGACTGGTCCGCAGATACAGTGAGGCACTTCATCCCGGAACCGATCGATGTTACGGTCATTTTGCTCAATGCGA